CGATTTTTGGTAAAAAAGGAAGGTTATACACTGCCTTTTTTTGAGCCCCGAAAAAAAAATTGTCTCAGATCGACCCGAAAAAAAATTTTCTTATAGAATGTGGCCTGTAGAATCCATAATTTCAAACAGTTCCAAGATTGGGCTACTAGTTCAAAAGTTACAGCCCTTTGAATTTTCTTTCGAAATTGGTTTCTAGTCCCATAACTTTTGATTGAGAAGTCTGATCGAAAAAGTACGAATTGTTTTGGATTCTGCGCCCCAAAATTAATAAGAAAAAGTGTTTTCCCGAGAAATTTTGGTGCAGTCGATTTTTGGTAAAAAAAGAAGGTTATACACTGCCTTTTTTTGAGGTGATGTGGGTTCAATGTTTTTGGGGATGGGAAGATTTCTTTCGATGTGGCTAGTAATATGAAGTGCTTGCGTGGGGTTGCAGATATTTAATGGTGAGAATACCTTTTCTAGGTGAGTAGCGAACGCTTCGGATTTTTCGGCATCTGTGCTAAATATGTGTGTTCCAGAGGTAAGGGTTGGCATGGCAGTTCGTCGTTCTGTTTTAGTATTCGTTTAGTGGTTTTCCACATCCCTGGATCTCCGGGGCCGATGTCTGCGATGTATTGTTTGTCGCTTGATTTCAGGGTTTCGTGTTCGTTGCCACTGTCTTTTTACTTGGCTCTTCTCTTTAATCATACTGATTATGTAATTTGGAGGACGATTGTGGTCCGTCCATGAGCGTCTGATGGTGATGGTTCAGATGGATGATTTTACTGCTTCAGTTATTGAGTTCGTAATGTCTGATACCGTAGAATCAATGTCCTCGTTAGTGTTTAGATTATTAGGCTTCTTTAGATTTGCATCTAATTGATCTTGAAAAACTTCCCAGTTTATTGGCCCGCATTGATTAGTTTAAGAGGAGGCTGTCTTAGTTGGGGTATGCTTAGGAAGGACACTAAGACGGGTAGGTGGTCCGAGCTTAGTTCGGTTATTACTCTTTGGCTTAGTTGTTTTGGGAAATTTGTTTGTAATACAATATCCAGGATGTCTGGTTTGTGATCGGTACGATACGAATAATATGTATACTCTTTGGGAGTCATGACCTGGAAGGTGTATTTAGTAGAAAACTGCTCTAGCTTGATGCCTTCCGTATTGGTTGCTCGGCAGCCCCATAGTTTGTGCTTTGAATTTAGGTCTCCTATGATTAATGTTTGTTCTCTTGTGTCGGAGTAGCTGTTTTAGATCGTTCTCGATAAGTTTCTTGTTAGGTTGTCTGTAAGTGCTACGGATTGTGAGTTGGCTGTGATTGCTGAGTTGTAGTTTGATGCCGGTGGCACAGATAAGGGTATTTTATCTGTGCCGGTGGTTTCCAGGCTGTTATTGTGTAGATCAGGAAGTTTGGTATGTTCCAGGTCAACTAAAGCAGAAAAGCGTGCCTCATATAAAAGAATCTATTAAGCCGGGTTTATTTAAGAGGTCTCCACCAGGTGGAGGACTCCCCTTATTATAAGAGAGGGACAGCCAAATGAACCTATATTGGGACTTATGTCGATAGAAGAATTGAGTCTTATTTTAATGGCCGATTTATGTTTCAGAAATCTTGTGGCTCTAAGACTTCAGCCGAAGGATGGAGCAAGCACTTGCTGTTCTGGTAGGCCTTACTATCCCCCGTAACGCTCAGAAGAGGTTTCACCTACAAGGGAGCTAGTTGGTTTGAAACTGTCCAAATAGTGGACTCCGTCTTGTGAGGTTGACTCTGATGCCAACGTAGCCCTCTAAAGGTTACCATAGGAATATTATGTTCCAACTAAACCTGTTAGAGCGGCTGGATGGACAGCCTTTGCTCTGTCGGAAAGCGGGGAAGGTGGAAGAGCTGGCCGTTAGGCCGCATTATACTACAATATAAGTCACAATAACAGCATCATAATATGATAGCAGCTGTAAAGCGTAGGTAGACCATTCAAGAAATGAAGAGAACACCTTGGTGAACTCGGATCACAAAAAGGTTAGCAGGCTGCTTAATAGGGCTAACTCAAGGTCCATTGATGCTAGCCCTAATCATGGGATCAATGCCCAAAATCGATTACCAATAGAAAAAATTCTTTCCAACCTTTGGAAAGACAACGGGACAAAAAGTGGTGACACCGAGGCTTTCATTGGGCAGATATACGCCTGATACGAATAAGGTCCTCACTTGTCTCTTGGAAACACACTTCCTAGGCTCTAGGGACCGTATAACTTCGGAACCACCAAAAAAAAGCTATCCAGGTTCAACACATTTAGCTATTTGCTGGTTGGCTATATCTGTAACTTCACATGGCCACCTTCTCTTAGGTTGAAGAAAATTGTATTTCTTGGACTCATTTAAATTGATTGAAAAAATGCAACACAGAAAATACAAAAAATGTTTTTTTATTGTCAACAATTACAAATTAAGTTACAAAAATATAATGGAAGAATTAACCACTTCAATTGTCTCAACCCTTCCCACCCTCAGCATAGAACTCTAACATTTTTTCCATTATAGACATGTTTCTTTGAACCGTACATTTGCCTATGCCTATCCATATTATCTTTTCGACGAGTTTCATATCCGCATTGCTCACATCTCAACAAAGTCGCAAGGTGTTGGGTTCTCACATGCATCTTTAAAGCGGTACTGGATAGCGACGTATAAATGCAATGTTCACACTTAAACACCACCACACCGTGTTGTCTCATGTGAAAAGTCAACTCATATTTTAGCGCAGTCCTATAATTACACTGGTTGCATTTGTGTTTTTCTAAGTTATGTTTTTGTCTCAAGTGAACATTCATATGATCTATTCGATGAGTTTCATATTCACATTGCTCACATTTTAACAAAGTCGAAAGGTGGAAGTTTTTGATATGTTTCAATAAAGCAGCTTTAGACACCGACGTATAAATGCACAGTTCACACTTAAATACCACCGAACCGTGCTGTTTCATATGAAAAGTTAATTCATGTTTTAGCGCAGATGTGAAACTACATTGGTCGCATTTGTTTTTTTGTGGGTTATGTTGTCGTCTGATGTGTTGAATTAGAACAAATTTTTGGGACGTTACGTATGGGCAATGAAAACACTTGATTACTTTTCGACCGTGAACTGATATTCTGTGTCTAGCTAGATTTCTTTTCAAATTCGTTGTGTAATCACACTGATCACATTTCACTCTTTTGCAATTTCCATTTTGTAAATCGTGACATAGACTGTGTTCGGCTACTCTTCTTTTGAGCTTCGCCTTAAAAGTGCAATGTTTACAATGATACTCCATTGATCCATGTTGAACATGGATGTGAGTGGTTAAATTCCTGTTAGTTGCCGTCGTATATTCGCATTGGTTACATTTAAGTGTTTTCGCACCATGGCACGCTCTCCAGTGTTTCATTAAACTCTTCTTTAATTTTGTTATGTAATGACAGTCATTGCACAGGTATCGTTGTAGACCGTGTATTGTTTTTACGTGCTGACGAAATGTAATTTTCCTACCAGTTACGTAATCACACTGTTCACATTTAAACTTTACTAAACTGTGATGCATTTCGTTGTGCGCCACTAAATTGCTCCTCACTTTCGTGGCGAAATCGCAGTGGTAACATTTGTATTCTATTGAACCATGTTGTCCTAGGACGTGACGTTTAAAAGCATTTTTCCACACCGTTTTGTAATCGCATTGTCCACATTGAAATCCGCCTGAGCCATGACGTGTTGTAATATGTTGTCTAAAGCACTTTTCCGAGGTGGTTTTATAACTACAATGTTCACACTTACGTTCGATCACGTCATGTCGGTTTTTTATATGGTTCAGTAAATAACGTTTCCGTGCTGCTGTATAACTGCACTGAGTGCAATGAAACGGTTTTGAATTCTCCTTTTCACACTTGATTGAACCACGTGGTATGTTTTTCCATTCGGTTGTAACACTCTGACCCACTATTGAACTTCCTAGCACATGCTCCTGCTTAACGTGTTTACTGTTTGAGGTAACGCCATTGAAGCTGGTCGAATTGAACACATCCAAGTTGTACAGTTTTATATCTAAATCCTCATTGACGATGAAGTTATCTGGTGAATGCAACGAAATTGCTTCATCTTCCTGCTCCTGTTTAATTTCAATTTTATGCAAATCTATTTCTGAAACTGGAAACTTTTCTTCTCTTTCATCTTCCACCTCTTGTTTAAATACAGTCTTTAATACCTCCATTTCGAATTCGAGTTTTGTCACAGAATTACAAAAGAAAAGATTTTCCCCTCAACAACAATAACAACCGTTACTTTTCGTTCATTTTGCCCACTAACACATTAGAACTACCAGATGCTAAAGAGAACTACTAACCCACGACAAATTATACAGGGCGCGTCATAGTAGAATGTTCTTAAGCTCTTCAGACTAATTTTCATGTTTTAGTGTTTGACTACAGAAATAGAAAACTCGCAAGTACTCGTGACCCCACATCTAGTTGTACCTCCCTCTTAAGAAAGGGCTATTAAAAGAATTGAAGTTTTACTAACTTTTTTCAACCCCCACTCCTATCAACTTTCCTTATACGTGGTCATATTATTATACAAAACATGTTTAGGGGGTTTAAATTATGTATATATATTTTGGGACAATGCTGATCAACCCTATTATCATAGCATAAGTACACTAATCAGTATAGTGAATATGAAAAACATACAAAGCCAGTTGCACAAAAAATCCAGGATCATTGTTTAATCCGCTATTAAGACATTTGATTGGCTTTATACTGCAGTATGCAGCCAATCAAATGTCAAATGTTTAAACTCAGATTTAGCAAATAATGTAGGATTTTGATAATTCTTTCCTGAAACCGGTCGATAATTGCATATCAATATCGGGCATTCTCTCCTGACAAGCATAATAGATCTCCATCACTATTAATTAAATGCCACTCAACAGTGGAGAACAACTGTTTATGGAAGGCAATTCCGTAAGACCTACCACGTTTGTATTGAAGTCAAATATATTAATAAAGATGTTTTATTTTAATTAATCATACATTAAAAGAAAAATCCCAGTATTTTGCCACCAAGATGTTTCCTTCTAGCTTCCTCGTGGTCCATAATACCTCCACTTGTGGTCAACACAATATAACTAAAAACACACATGAAACCACACTATAACATTACGACTATGTGCCACTTACCCGAACTGACGAGACGGCAGTAAGTTATTCGTCCACTTTTCAATATGTGTAATCGGTACGTCAAATCTAGGCGAAATAACACCACATTTATTTAATCTACCGGTTAGATTAACTACAACCTTCCCCGATCTGTGATCGTCGACAATTTCGAATTCGCCGATGTATCCATGTTTCATCATAACAGTTAGAAACTTGACGATTACCTTCGAGCACGGGCGAATTAGCACTTGTCTTTTGCCACGTTTTTCGGCATTATTGATCGATTTAAGGGCGTCACTCAATACGTTCATCCGCACCATGGCTAAAAACAGGTACACTTGTCATAAAAGTAATGGAAATTATGGAAACGGGGCGAACATGATTTCTAACCTAAAAGTGATTATTTATATCGACACAAATGACTGAAAATATTATTAAAAGGGGTAACAGGAGGGTGAATCTTTGGGTTATTTGATGTTTTAATTATAGGATGATTGAAAAATACCGTAATTACCTGCGATTTATTTTGTATTTACAGCAAAACCATTTACTGTTTAGAAACGAAGGAAAAAGGAAGTTGTTGACAACCTGGACGATGGGTGTCGCTGCTATCGCGTGACTATTGCTACGTTCAACTAGCATATCGGGATACATTCGGTTATGCGTATTAGGACCTGTTCACAATGCGCTATTCACATACGTTCATAATTTCGAAAATTAAAAAAACTAGTCGCAAAGCTTTGGAAGTTTTCTATTCTTGAAATTTTAGTGTGTAGTATGGTGGAGTCATGTCCCGTTGAAATAGAACCAAGACAATTTTATGGTCATTTTTCACTCTCTACCGGATAGAATACGCCATAACCTAGACAAGGGGAGACTACAATCCAAGGTCAAAGATTTTTTGACCAAACATGCTTTCTCAGTATTGCTGAATTTCAGGCTCAGGCAACGGTGGAACCTGTCGCACATGGCCCTTCACTGCATTTAGGCGGCTATTTGTATCGGAAAAAGGGCTGCCATCTTGTCTTATGGCATCTACCGTGAGTTTGAAATTAGTGAGGTTTACTGAAACAAATTCAAACTGAAATTGCACAAATTTATTCCAACTGGTACTACTATCAACAAATCGGCACAATATAAGTAACACGGGATAAAAATTGCCCTTAATGATTAGAAAAATATAACTTTAGGATGTGTTCATGTAACAATTTCGCTTAAAATCTATATTATTTAAATATTTTTGCTCTACAACTAATTCACCGGTATCACACACACAAGCAATCATCCTTACCCATTACAGAACACATCCGACTTTTTTGAAAATTTTAAAATCAGATTTGATTTAACTGATAACAAAAAGCAACAACACAATAAATTAGTTATAAACTAACTACTACAACAACGCACCTTAAGACTAGACAAAATAAGACAAACGCCGCCGTACGTGATGTCAAATCTTACATAATTTACAAACTTAAGACTAAAACGGTTAGTATACAAAAATAATATTGTCGATTCCTACAGAATTTCTCAAATATTAGTGTCAAATTTGGCGACCTCTACCTCCTATATTACATACTAGGCGACCAACTTTGCCCTAATATTTAAACACGATCTACACCAATTGGATTAAAAATGAATTTGTACATTTTTCGACTTCCGCCTCGTTTACACTACCTCAAAACTCTCTCGGTAGTATTTAATACTTTCACGACGAAAAATCCGAAGGCGGTGGCGATTGCGATACCAATTCCAGCTTTCCACCAGGCGGTCGTATCAGTAGGCACGAGACCGAAGTTCCGAATGTTCCTTGGAAATTGCAAACAAGTTTAGTAATTCGCATTGGCGCACCGATCGGCATGCGGCAACACTAACACTTAGGACTATTTTTAAAAAATCAAAAAAGCGTTAAGTTATTACAAAAAAACCACATGCAACACAACCTGTTAATAAACTAGCTAACGAAATTATCACACTGCGCATGACACATTAAGAAATGCAATATATTTGAATAATAATGGTAACCTGTAAAATTGATTAAACCATTCTGATGGTTGAGGTCGTAATAATAGCATATGAACCATGCGACGCAGTGGACTGGAAATAACGTTTTGTTTAAGAACCTACACATCGTTTCTCTTCGGCAAAAGGAAAAACAAAATCGGTGCGAAAATGAGAAAACATCACGCAAATTATACGAAATGATCTTAGTAGAAAGTTTGGAAACAAACCTGTGTCTATAAAACAATATCCACGCCGCTTGAAATCGACTAAAGCAAATAAGTTTCTGTGTATTTTTTGTTTCGATGCTGCTCCCTGAATAACTCAATTTCACGCCCCTTTCCCTTACTAAAGCAATGGTAAAAATGTCAAATTGAGTTACACAAGGTTGCTTGTAATGAAATGGCCAAACGCGATTGGTTTGAATTTGCACGTGCGTTTCGAAAATGATGAGACAAAAGCGACGAATCCCGAGTGTTTTAATCGTAAATACTTACGGGAATGCGGCCATCGTGGCCAGCTTGACGTAAACGTCCTTCCGCACGTGTCCTTTCGCGCTGAAAGGCTGCGGAGGCAGTATTCGATATTTCTCGCAGAACGCCTGCGGTTGGAGCAGATAGTCCTGCTTCTCCTCCGGCAGATCGCTTTTGCCCGCCACGACCAGCACGGGTATCTTGCTTTCGGCGAAGTATTTCTGAAAGTTTTATCAAAGCGGGCTCGCAAAAAAAAATCAGCTCACAATGTAAATCCGCGCGATGTACTCGAAGGATTTCGGGTTGCTTACGTCATAAACTAGACAGGCGACGTCGCACTGTACTTCGTGGGGGAGTAGGGGATCGGAGACGTTTCGCACGTTTATATCGCGAAGGACCATTATTTTGTCTTGACCGTAGACTTGGACCATATTTACAGTGCAGTTGGGACTTCCAGTGATATCAACTCGCGGGTTTTTCTATAAAGATTAGTCTACATTAAATCAGGCGAAATTTTCATTGAAGCAAAACCAATTTTTTTTTGTTATGTAACGGGTCGCCTTGCTCATCTCGCATCTTACATTATTTGCAATGAAAAAGCAGCATTTCTCTTCGAAAATCCGCCGCCGCCAGACCTTCGTCAGATTGCATTTCTCCAGAGAAGGGATTAGCAGCCTTACAATCGCTTTCGAAAGCGAAGATTTAACATCGTCGGCGCAGACCAACAAGAGAAATCATTTCCGGTGGCAGAAGAAAGTTTGTTGGAAGACCGTTGACCAATCGCGAACCACACCACGTAGGTAGGCTCAGAAATTTTACATTTTCCAAGAAATTTGTCCGATATGTATTCTCGCATGATTAAGGCGTTGTGCGCAGGTGCACCATTCTGTTGAAACCAACACCCTTTTGCCCCCCCCCCCTCGCCCCAATAACCTATATGTTAACTCTATCTCGGAAATACAAAGAAATACAATCAATTAAATAAATAGAACTGCCCGCCCAATTAACGTTTATTTTATAGCAGATGTTAAATTGACTATTTAGTAGGTTTGAATGAGTAGCGTAAGTGTCTTTTTAATCCTAAGGGTAGATAAAGTAATCACTTTAATGGCAAGGGTAGATAAAGTGAAACAAAGCCTTGTGCATTCCAATAACATGTCATTTTTATTAAAAATGGGACGCTGAGCACGAAATAAAAAATTAAGTTCGGAACATAATACAATATTGTTTCCATGGAAACGACAGGAGAACCCAAGCTTGCTATTTTGGAAGCCGAAATTAAATACCTATAGAATTTTTATGCCTTCTGCTATTAAATACAGTTTTGTATTATACACGACGATAAAGGGAAACTAATCTCGTGAAAGTTAGTTCACTTAAAGATTAAAACATCTCTTGATCGTTATGTATAATAAAAACTATTCGAGATTATTCCAAAACTAAAAGACGATTGCGCGAAAATAAATTTTTTTCATTTTCACTCAGAAACCGTAAGAGGTACAAACCCGCTTAAATGGGAGAGGTATAGAGAATTTTATGGTGATTAATTTTCCCTTTAAAAGTTTCTTGAAGGTCTGCAAATAGCGAAGTTATGGCCAAAAAACCGAAAAGTGTCATTATCGATATTTCGTTGGCATTCATTTATTTTCAAAAAACAATTCTAACAAAATTTTTCTCAACTTTCTGACGGTGCTCAAAAAATTGTTATGAGTTATGGCCCATAAAATATTATAATCAGACATTGCAGCCATAACATGAATGGTTTTTAGTTCATACGAGATGTCTTCTGTTATAGCACCATCATAAATCGCACGTTCACTATCATCTGGCAACATTGTGCAGCATCAGTACTTTCATCGGCATAAAAATCGAATTTACCAAATTGCAGATATGTTCTTATTTGTGTAAGAATTGATCAAATACAATTTTACATAAAAATATACCTAATATAAGTATTTTAAAGGTATATATTGCCTCAAACACATCAGGGATCTTGCGCCCCTCTTAACAGCACCTCGGCCCCCCCCTCCCGCCTCCCAGTTGCGGGAAACACTTGTCTAATGCAAAAATGTTGGCATGAGTACAAAAAAACAAATTGCTTTTTGTGATCATAATACAAACGCACTGCAACAACATCCAAGACCAAATCTCAATGTATTTTAAGATGATGATGAGATCTTTACAGTATTTTAAGTTTCTGATTTTGACCTTTACTCACATCTGTAGGTGACCTAATAAAATTCCGACAGAATAGCGATTTTCCAGAAGACGCCGGCCCGATAACGTGACACTGATACACGTTCCGACTTGATTGCTTTTTGGCCAGATCCAACTTTTTCTCCCTCGTCACTGAAAAGCAAGCGGCGTTATTACCACACCCGTACACACACACCACCCATTTACCTTGCACAGCAGTCACTTGACAATCATTTTCGTAAATATTATAGCCGAGATAGGCGAGATATTCGAACGCGCGCGGCAAATCGACGAGCGTCATTAGCGCCCACTGACACATATACCCCTGATATGTTATCCAGCCCCTCTCGTTTGTCGGCACCATCGCGCTGACGTCACTGGCCCAAGCCGGCGTGGGGCACGTCGAGAATAAGTCCTCGTACTCCCTTGGCGAGAGCGCCTGGTCTCGATCCTTGTCGTACCTCTCGAACATGTGCGATAGAAACTGCTGCCCTCTGTAGGATAACTCTGTCGTACAACCCGAAGGGACCTTCAACCTAAAATAAACTAGATGATAAAACGGTGGAAACCGTTAAGAAAGGTTTCCCAATATAGTTTCTAAACCAGTTTTCTGTCATAATGGTGGTATCCCTAGCTACATGATTGACCTCTTTGAATGAAAACTGGTATAAAAATCAAAATTTACATCACCACTCAGGAATCTGTTATAGAGAAACTAATATAATTGGCATTAATTATACCAGTTCTTTTCTACCGCAGCTATGAAAAGCTGAGTCTATTTTATGAGATTGTTGGTATACGGGCGCCTACCTTCTCGAGTTGGTTTCTATTAAACTTTTCCGTAAGTTACACAAATTTCTAAATAACGACTGCAAATTTGGCAAAATCTTATACATGTATAAGCGAGCTGTGGTGACGTGGTGCACTGAGGCGAGCAACTACCGATTTTCATTTGGGATATGATTCATTTATAGCTCGCAAAAATTTGGAATTCTTTTGATAGTTGTGTCAAAGCAATTTATTGTATCAAAAATCAATAACTAAATCTATATGCTTACAAATAATTTACAGTGGCATAATTAAGAGGGCCACTTTTTTAATGGAAAGCACTATTTTTCGTGAGGTACTATTAAAGAATAAACCTTTTTATAATATGATACATAACATAAAAAACATGACATAACTAATAAAATTATAAAATTAATTAACACAACTATTTTCTCATAAGTTCCATTATGTAATATAAGTTTTTATGCTGCTACTCTTTAATATGTAATGAAAGCTAGATATATTTCCTATTAAAAAAAAAAGCCCCCCTTGTCTATGCAGAAGTACGCCACTGACGGCAAATTTAAAGCACGTAGCTTTCAAATTTCAAAATGTTCACTCAGTTGCTATTTAAAAAAAATATGCCCCCCTTGTCTATACAGAAGTACGCCACTGACCGCAAATTTAAAGCACCTAGATTTGTAGCATATTTCAAAATGCAAAATGTTCACCCTGTATATGTACATTAGACAAGACATTTTGGAGAAGTCTAAATTTGATCACTAATTGCGTTATGGCTGTGACAAAATACACTTTATTATTAGTAAGTAGGATTTTTTTTGAAAAAACACAAATTTTTGGCACCCCACGAAATATTTTGAACCCTTTGTTTATTTGGAAAACATTATTATAAACAATTGAATTTATATTTTTCTAACATAAGAACAGCAGATCCATATATCATACTAAAGTAGCAATGATACTCTGTTTCTGCCACAGATTGACCAGCATGGTTTGCGAACCTATACCGAAACCATATATTGTGTGGCGCAGTTCAGTTAAAGCTGGACTGTGGTGCTAAGGGTCCCTGGTTCGAATCCGGGTTCGGGCATGGATATTTGTAAATGTATAGTGGGTTGGGTTGGTAGAGCAGCCTTGGCTGAAACCCCGCCCACTCAAAAATAAAGGCAAAATAATAAATAAAAAATATACGCCACAACAAAATGGCGGTGCCGAGCGAAAGAATCGGACGCTGCCACTATTATGTTGCATGGTTCTGGATTCACACAGAAATTTTGGGCTGAGACCGTGATGAGAGCTGCGTGAAAAAGGCATTCTGGAGTTACTTTCTTATAGCTTTGCCATGGTTTATGTCTATTCTTATTGCGTATTAAAAAATAAAAAAATATACAGTATGTTGCAATAAAAATTAGTAATTAGTGGGGGCAATTTTCAATTAATCCGGAAGTATTAAAAATTGACATTACAGATAATAGGTACATTCTTCGTTCTTCACAAGATAAACGTGCCAAATTTGAAAAATATTGATTTGCATATAACGGAGGTAATTGATCGTTCCAGGAGTTCTGCATACCCTGTTTTAAATAACTAACCTCCGCTAACTGTAACCGGTGGTCGCTTTAGAATTTCAGAAGTATTTTTTTTCGAATTTGTATTTTATTCAACATAGGAAAATTTACACATATACCGCTTCACAGCGAACGTGAATAAAAGTATGTCTGGAAATAAAAAGTGATAACGCGTGCATTTTCGAGTTATAATGTCACGTACCATTTTAGGTGCGCTGAAATTTTCGTTTGATGAAAGTTTATCTAGTAGCGGTAAGACATTGCCAGCTTTATTTTTAGTGAAAAAAAATACAAGAACACTGCAATTTTTCGTTAGCGTTAAATGAAACCAGATTTGTGACAAGTGCGCGTTACCGGCAAGCTTGGTTTTGCGTAAAGACCCTAAGTACCCTAATTCGTAACACAGCCGTTTATTTACGAGTGGTAAAAATTACGCGAAGGAACATTTTCGAGTCGCAAAATAGAAACGGGATTAAATAAACTAAAGATTGAAATTCATAAACAACGAAGTTTTTTCGGATCGCTAACAGTAACAGTTGATTTAAAGTCAGTTTGCAATAAATAAAAATTGTGTGTACAAAGGCCTGCGGCAGGGAATTTAAAGACATTTGATCAGTACATTTTACCTACCCTGAAACCTAGTTAACAAATTGGGCAAAATAAATATCAACACTCAGTAGCGGTCCCAGGATTTGGTAAAGGGAGGGGCCCAAACCCGAACTTTGTCCCAATACGGAAAAAAATAAAAGAAATCTGATGAAAAAATGGACAATGGGGGGGCCGGGCCCCCACGCCCCCCCCTCCCGGGGCCGCCACTGTCAACACTGGCTTATTCACTTCTGTGCATAATCATGATATCGAGTACCAATTTTACAAAATTGAAGCCAGTCTCATTGAACTCGGGATTCATCCGAATTTTTCTTCTGTTCGTCACAAAGATAACGTTACCAGGGTGGTGCAAAAAGTCAATAGGTCCGACTCTCTGCCTGTACCCTCATTTCCAGCTAGACCGCTGAACCGATTGGAACCAAATTTGGTACACATATCTTTAGAGATGAAAAGCTTTTAGTAGGGGAGCCCAATAGGAGATTTTTGGGATTTTCTCAAGCGCGTCAGATTAAAGTAAGGTGGGTTAACTACATGTTGAAAAGTGTGCACTTCAATAATTTGTAAGAATATGTAGCTCACACATGACTTTCGGTTTATTAGGGAAAAATTCTTGTTTTTTTCTCCTTTACCAACTAATGCTTCTTTACATACTTACAGGTTACCCTTTATATAATTCCTGGATTTTCAGACCTTTAAAGGCTACATGACAATTAAATGTATTTTCTTGGAGCCTTTTGAAAACTTTTGTTTTAAAGACTCAAAGATTCATAAATATCTTTAAAGGCCCCTGGAGTTTCTTCAAGCTTTTTTAATACTTTAACACTCTTTTTACTATGCTGTTAAACGTGAAGGAAGAATGCACAGACTGATCATTGTTAGCTAGTTTTGGAGACCCATAAAACCTCCTAAAGACTCAGCTCTTGCAAACTCTTAAACCATTAATAACCTTACAAGCCCTGCACAAATAACAAAGTTAATTTTTTTACGACAAGTAGACACAAATTATACCACTTTTTCTCTACAACAGAATCCCCTAACCCGTGAAGCAGACTTACAATGGAAACAAGTAATCCTTGGACACGTGCAAATTATCATTATACCCAAACTTCCTCAGCACAGTCCAGGTGGTTTCGTTTCTACCTCTTTGAATAAATAAACTGTGAAGGTAGAGGAATCCCTTTAACGTGACACTGTTGTGATGTATCCCATCGTCGAGGTTCTTCCTCAGTACTCCTTTCACGTCGTCTAATACTTGCGGTTGCAATGGCGCATTAAAGCACCTACTTTGGAAATTATTAAGCTCTATATCGTTTAATAGTCCATCATTATCGATGTCACAAATTTTAAATATACGAATTAACGCCTTCTGACAACCCTCGGTTAACTATAAAATTATGTAAGTAACACGATTGGAAACGGGGACACTTACGTCTGCTTTCTCAACGTTATACAGTGGACCGGTGGGATGCAAAACGGCCTTTTGTGCGTAATAAAACATTTCTGATATATTTTTTAAGGTTTTTGCAGAGCATTCGATACAAGTTTCTATCTCCGCATAATCTTCCATTAACGCATAGACACCCTACGAGAATATTAAACGAGGCTGCGGTCAATCAAAGTACTTACTTCAATAGTCGAGTAGTCGACCAGATCAATTTTGTTCCCGACAAGCACCACCGGGCAGGTGTAATCGGGATGATGTTGTCGAATCAGCGGTAACCAGTAGGTCGACACACGGTCTAAGGAGTCGTCATTATCAACGGCGTACACCACACAAATGACGCTGGCTCTCTTAATTTGATCATTGAGCTGATCGTCCGTTTGCTCGATGGTCGAGTAATCCACAATGTTGGTCGGGACCTGTTCGGGCGTAACGTCGGCGGGTATCGTGATCTCCTCGGCCTTGGCGGGTACAGTTTCGGGGAACTCCTCGCTGACGAGCGATAGGATTAACGACGTCTTGCCGACACCTCGATCGCCCACCAGGAGAATGCGGACATTCCGTTTCAACGGCAGTTTTACAACCATAGCCTGGCGAATTTTAATTATATAACGAATAAAAGGAAAATGTAAACCTAACTGTTTATTTTGCTCCTTTGCTGCTTGTAATTCACATGATTTTTAACCGTATGATTTAGCTCGCTATAACGGTGAAATTTGGTCCTGTGAGTCGCTGTAATTAAACAGATTATTTAAAAAACGGTGGTGGAGTTCACGAATTTTTAAATAAGGGCAAAAACTACCACCGTCGACCACCTACAGCTCGCTTTTTGACATTTGAAAGAGAAAGAAACAAAACGCGCTAACAATTTTTATACAATGTACTTGTCATACATTGACATTACACCTACAATACGATCAATGCCTTAGTTAGATCATATGATCTAAGATCAATGCAATGAAATTATTTAAATAAAAATAAGTTATTTATGTTTAGATGAAATTTTTAACGTTCCTTAAATAGATTGATTTATAACAATAACAACCCAATATTGTTATCTAAAATGGCAAAGGTCACTAAACCACCCGCACCAGTCCAGCTAGCTCAATATTAAGGACATGTACTAATAAAATCTTTAAAAAAATATATATAATTTTTTAAAGGCACGTCCAGCTTCCGCCACGACAAAAATCTCGATATTAATCAATTTACAAATTTTCAATTAACACCTGATGTATATAATTCTGGGTATGAAATAGAAAAATGCAACTTGAGACTCCTTATCTGGGGCGTAATTTGCACTCTATTAATCACAAAACCAACCATTACCAGATGAACAAATTTATTCGAGATAAAACAATCAAATAAACTGAAAGAAAAACAGTCACTCAGTGCTAGAATAACACACACACCGCACGCAACCATAGAACAATTAATTAAACAAATCTCTTCATGTAAAATCTGATCCCACGAGAGAACTCTTTCAACAAGACCTATTATGGTAAATCGGTTAGCTATAACCGATGTTACATTCACTCCCTTAAATAGATGTTACCCTTCCTCCTCTCATATTTTATACTACTGCTAGAGCAATATGTGCTGCATCAAAATAGATGCAAAATTAATACAAATTGTGTGCAATGTATTTATGCTGTTGTTGGGTATATTTTAGGAAAAAAGACATTTTTTTTAACTTAATCATGAAATCGTACGCCCTGTATGCGCAACCTAAAAGCTTTGGAAAAATAATTTCCAGCCATTTTTCTTAACCTCTTTTGTTAACATTTTTTTTCCCGACCTGTGTTCACATAGTAGGCGTGTGACCATATTGAGACCCACTGTAACACAGTAGTGCACAGTGAAATGTTCCCATCAATGCCCTTTAGAGTGTTACTCAGTTGAGCGGTGGTTGTGGTGTTTCCAGTAAAATGGAGGGGGGGGGGTGGTCCACGGGTCACTCATGAACCGATTTTTTAAAAATTTGATACGAAAACGCAGTTTCAACGCTCAAAATTGTTAAAAAACGTGTTTGCCGGATAAAATACGAACTTCAATTCCGCCTTTGATGATAATTATATGTCTAGTGGGCTTTAATTGAGAGCCTTCCAAACTGCAGTCAATAATATGAACCATTTCAGTAGGCGACCTTACTACTGTCCCTGTCCCAATAGCCGATTGTGTAAAAAATTTGGGCATTTCTATTGATTGTAAATTAAGGTTTACTAAGCACATTGACAACCTTATTGCTTCGGCTTATTATCAGTTAAGATGCTTGTATTCTAGTCGTCACATTCTTGGCATCAAGCAGAAGGCTGTTCTTTGTGATGCACTGGTTCTATCACGGTTCAATTATTGTGACGTGGTATATGGACCGTGCTTATTACTCAAAGACTGTGATAGAATCCAGCGTGTCCAAAATTCATGCTTGCGCTTCATATTTGGAATTAGGAAGTTCGAACGGATTTCACATACCTTACCAATGCTAGGCTGGCTCAATATGATGGAAAGAAGGCTAGTTCACTCTTCTTTATTTTTTCATAAAATATTAAACAGTAAAATTCCCCCGTATCTCTACCGCAAAATTACCTTTCGTACAGACGTGCACCACTTAAATTTGAGGCACAGGGGACTTCTATCTGTTCCTATGTTTAAATTATCATTATTCAAACGATCTTTCTTATTCAACATCTGTAAATTTTGCAACAACCCCAAAAATACAAAATTACTGTATCTGCCTGCTGCAGTCTTCAAAAGAAACATCAAACATCGAATCATTAGAGAGCGAATGTTAATGCGAACGTAATTGAAACCACTACGATGTTTCCGTTGCATTTCCAAACGATAAGCTGCCTGTCAATAATTGTTTACTTTACAAATAACTTAACTATTGCAGAATAACTTTATTTATTTGTATTTACACAAGGGGGTTTCAAGGGGAAGAACAGGTGACCATATCAACGGGTTTACCTGACCTTGTGCCCATTGGTTATGGTGTAGGAACCATTATTTAACCAATAAAAACCATTATTATTATTATTATTATTATTACTGTTCCTTTACATACTTATATCAGATAATTTTTTTTTCATTTTTCAAAAAAAAGGTTAAATGTTTGCATCACTAGAAAGAGAAAACAAGACGCTTTCCAATGATGTATCGCATGACCCATGTTGTAATTAAACAAAATTCAAGATGACGGCCGCCCTCAAAATTGGGTAATGCAGAAATTTGTTTTTCATTCCGAAACATGTATGTATAACAATGTCCTCCAAATTTGAAATCAATACCTCGAACCGTTTCAGCAAGAGAGCATTGTTCCATTACTTTCTAACCAACCACCCTGTATAGACGTGCACATCTTATATGCTTATTCGAAAAGTTCGTATTTACCCATTTCAATAATATAAATATTTCAGTAAAATTAATTGTCTGTTACTCCATTGCTCCGTATGTACCTACATAATCAACGAACGGCACTTATTTGTGAGCGCCCCTACCGCCCCCCACCCTGGAATCAGCGCCCATTGGGAGGCGGTATCATCCTCGTTGGGAACCTAGGCCCTATGGGCACACCACTGCCTATGCAAAAAAAGGCACTTTTTTATGTACACCTTTTAACTAATAAGAATTTCTGTACTTAAATGCAAAGTAATCGAAGAGATGGCGCACCACGTCGTCGTGGTAATTTAATGCTAGCGCGACGCATGCGCGAACATGCAACAGGCTGGTTAGAAGATACGAGTATTGCCGCACTAGTATTGCAAGAAGTTGTAATTTGGTCCGTCTTAAATTTGCGTTTAAACCAGTTTCGCGAAGTATCTCTCGCCAATCGGCCTTAAGCGAACAGGTGCGAAATAAATTGCAGAAAAAAAAGTTACGTGTGCTATAAAGGTCGTACGTTACGTTCGCGCAGAAAAGTGCGAGTGCGAATTTGATTTTTTTAAAGTGAGAAAGTGAACTAAACTTTTGTTTGTTAAGTTTGGGCAATTAATGAAAGTGCAAATTGAGATTTTCTTTTTTTATTCGCCGCCGTCGCTTGTTTACTTCGTTCTAAAATCACGTGATGTTTCGAATTGCGGCCGCTTTTGAAAAAGTTCACAAGAAAGTTGATTAAAGACGACGTACGCCCCTTTGGCTGTATTTATATTTCTAAACACATGGTAAGTTGACAAACTTGTCTTTATATTTTTGTCTCCAAGGTCAGCAACGTTTGCCCTTCGACTAAGTTTACTGGAGTTTATCGTAATTATTAGTATTTCTGTTTGACCTGCTGACTGACGTGTTGTTTTCAATCTTGTCGGCACGTGGAATTAACATGTACTATCATTTACATAAAGTACCATTTTTGGAACGTGCCCATTTCTCCCGAAAAAATCGGTAGCGGGGAAAATCCCTATTCGAATCTGCTTCATCATCTTACATAAACATTCTAAATTTAAACAGGCGAAAAAACCTACGAAGAAAAATGAAAATTTTGTAGGCCTAACCAATTAAGTACGCTATTCGACGTATTACTCACAATAAAGAATGAGGTAATTAGTCGCCAATTAAACGAATTTACTTAAAGATACCGATTGTACGGTTACGAAAGTACCGCGAGGAGCCAAATGTAAAGACGTAGTCCGCCCGAAAAACAAACAACTTTTATTATTTTTTTAGGCCATATTTTGCATCGTAAATTTGTTAATTATTCGCGCGATAAAGCTATTCAAATAAGATATCAATTGTATCAGTTCGATTATTGGGGCACGTGCCGGATTAAAACCCCTTTTGTTTCGTATATTTAATTAAAAATACCAGAAAGCCAGAATTTGGAAAACTCGCAGAGAAATGACTGGACTACTGCGATTGCAGATCCACTATAGACATCGTAGGGGAAGATCGGGATGATTGGGTAAATTGCAAGAGAGAACTCGTTGATAGGGTAAATTCGTGCCCGGAAAATTCGTCTCAAAAGGAAATTCACACCCAAGAAAACTTTCCTCGTGATTTTTATGTAAAAGTAGTTTTTTTTTAAAATAAATTATGCAATTTTACATAAACAATGCGTTTCTTTCTTATTTCATTTGTTTTTATAAATGGGGGGGGGGATTCCTAGGTAGACCTTCAGAGATAAACAATTGAAGTATTGCAAATTATTTGAGTATTTGACACACTCCATGAAAATAGAACAGTTCTATTTTTCCTCATCTTTTTCAGTCGATTTTTCATCATCAGTGCTACCAACCAACAAATTTTGTTAGAATAGGGAGAGTGAGGGTATGTTCTGCTATTTACAATTGACAAATGCTCATATGGCCTTTTTTAAATTAATTATGCAATTTTACAACGACAATACATTTCTTTCTTATTAACGAACTCCTAAGCGAGTTCATGATTTTGGACTTTCTGTCCAAAGGAAGAACTCATTAAATTTGCAATGACCCGGAAGCTCGTTTGCTATATTTGGTACAAGTTTATTTGTTTTTATAGAAAGGGGTTGCAAGTGAGACCTGCAGGTGTAAACAATTAAAGAAATAACAATTTTTGACACTCCCAGAAGTTAACCGTTAGCAGTTCTTGATTTTTACGTAAAAGTAGTTTTTTAAAAATAAATTATGCAATTTTGCAACAGTGCGTTTGTTTGTTTTCATAGGAGGGGGTTGTTAGTTGGACCTGAAGTAGTCAACAATTAAAGAATTAAACATATTTGACACTCTAGACGAGACTCTAGACGTTAACCACTAGTAATTCGTGATTTTTATGCAAAAGTAGCATTTTTTAAATAAATTATGCTAGCTTGAACTAGGTGACTATTGAGATCACCGTTTTTTTGGACATATCCTCGGACATATCAATATTTGTACAATGTGTGTGTTTCATACCTACTAATCTATGATTTTCTGTGTGACTTGTCTATTGTAAAATAGCAACAAAGGTTTAATAAATTATTATTATTATTATTTAGATATTTTAAGCAACTTTTAAAGAATAATTTTTTCCATCTGTATGTATGTACAGTTGTTCTGTTTCATAATGGGAGAAAAACCCTACCCTAAAATTTCAGGATTGGTTCACAATAACGAATGTGGGTCTGGATACGCGCAATGTTTTTAGTCAAATCGGATTGCGCATGAGCAAAACAAATTATTTGATTTGGAATTGGTTTCACCTTTATTCTAGCCTTTATTCGAGATGCCTGCATACAAAATTTCATTTAAGTATTTTAACAAATAAAAAACAGACCGACGGACAGAAAGACAAATAGACTGACAGACAGGTAGACAGCAAAAATTCCTGCCTTGGTGTAAACCTCGACACCATAACGAACCAAACAGTGAAAAAAGTAGAACAATAGCTCTTAAGATAAAGACCTAGTAGCGACCGAATGACCGTAGGGACGGACAGACGGAAGGATGAATTAGCCACAATAGTGCATTTTTTTAATTTTTGCGCCAAAAATATAGACAAATATTTATTATCGTTTATTATGCTATTCAATTCAATTCAAAGTAGGTGTATGAGCGAATGTGTGGGTATGTATAACAAACTTCAAGACGAAGCATTTTTTAAAAATCTTTATCTTTTTGCCATTTTTTGTTGAAACATCGTATACCTTTGTAGCTTGTTGGTTCGCGTCACCGTTAAATGAAGATCATTCACATCAGTCGAACAACCAAACACTGCAACTGTTGCATATGGCCCGAATTTTTTTTAAAAAGCGTTTTTTTGATCTTATAACATTTTGAAAACATTTTGCAATAAACTCGATGTTCAAAAACCTAACTGGCCTACAGTCTTTTGTTTTTGAGTTATGGACTAAAGTTGAATTTTTGGATTTTTAGATAAAAGCGAGGATAAAAGCGTATACTTTCTTTTTTTAATTAAGTTATAGAAAATGTGTTTATTACAAAAGTTTCTTTGTAATAATTGTTGCATAATCTATCGTTTTCAAAGTAAGTATGTATACGGGATCAGGTAAAAAATGTATTGGCGAGGGTATTGGACCTAACTTCATTTTTTGAATTCAATTCAACAAGATTAAAAAGAAGTTTTCAAAGAAATTAAAAAATTCAAAAATTGTGCGAAATTTTTTTACATTTTTTTAAATCATTTGAACCTTTTTTAAATCTTTTTTTGAGTTCCTTGAATCATTTTTTTAATATCATCCGTGATGTACTATAGTTTTGAGGTCTGTTTCGGGTCTGTTTAGACAAAATTATACAGGGTGTTGCATTTAAAAAATGAGGTTAGGTTTTTCGGGTTTTTTACTTGGCCCCGTATATTTATTTCGCCGTCAATTTTTTTCTATCACTTATAGTTTAACAGTTACCCATAATAACGACCAAATTTGGCCACCCTACACCTACAGAGAAAATAATTTATGCAGAAATGCGAAATTCTCCAATTTTAATACCTAGTTGACATAATTCCGAATACCAAGCAACTTTCTTTATATTTGATCTCGATTTGATCATTTATGAGCTTGCTATATTGCATCATATTGTAACGTAAATTTAATTACGTGCCTTATTTATTACAACTGATTAACAATAAATATATAACAGCCTTGAAATTGATTATTAATTTATAACAGTAAAAATATTATTCATCACTCACGAACACCGTGAACTATTTATTACTTCGGGGTCGAAAATGGAACTCACTGGAACGCAATTCGATTCGCTTATGTAGTAAACGCCCCCTCCTCGAGCGCTTCCGAAGGCACCCGACTATTCTAGAAGGTTCTCAAATAAACACGTCATATTTTTCGGAAAGATTACGTCACATCCACATAATCTCTCATGGCGCCTCGACGTCCATCGCGATTTCTGGAATATTTAAGCAATTTTCAAGAGCGAGAAAAGCGGGTTTCCTGCTCTTGTTGGCTACGGCCTTGAGAAATACATTGTTCGCCGAAACTAATCTTTCATGGCGCCTCGATGTCTATCAGGATTTCTAGTTTATATTCGGCAAAGCTCGGCCCCAAACGATCCTCGAAACGATCATAACAGAACTCGCTTTTGAAATCGTGTGCCAAAATTCGCTTCCGAATATTCGTCCTCAAAGGAACTCTTCTCTATGTACGTAAATACGCCTCCTTGATTTTGCCCTTGCAATAATTACTTGCTACATTCTACAAGACAAAACTAACCCCTTCCTTGAGTTTCGGAAAACTATGAGGAAACTTCGTTTGAAACCATCTAAGAAGAAGTGAAGAAGTGACATTATAATTAAAGAATCCACATGGAAGAATTAAATGAATTCGAAGGAACAGAATCGGAAGTTAAAATTGAAAATTCAATGGCATAGAAAAAGTCGAAAAATCCAGTGGGGCCTGAAAGATTTGGTGGATAAGAATAGTGTGAAGAATCTAAAACGTTTGAAGAAAATGGAAAGTATCCGATGAAATGAAAGATTTTGAAAGAACTGATGGATGGGAAAATTTAAAAAACCAATAAATTTAAGAGTGAACACAAACATTGAAAGGAGGATGTGGATTTATGGCTTGAGAGTAGGTTTTATTTGACTAAAATCGAATCAAAAAAAATTTCAAAAACCTCTGTTTTTTTAATTAAATTCTATACATTTGGTCATGGGAATTTCAGAAATACCCCCATCGCCTTATGCAAAAGTGCACAGTTTAGGACGTATGGGCAATTTTTCATTTTTTTAATTTTGCGTCCCTTATAAAAGATGTATTTTTTTATTAATAGTTAAGGTATTCGAACGATTCATATGGGCGTTCCAAAAAGAAAGCATTGGACTATCATATGGCACATAAAATATTGAAAAGTATTTTCGCAAAATGGCACCAAAGTGAAAGTGAAAAATTTAATGGAAATGGGCATTTCCAGGTGGAAATCTGTGAACTTTTGGACTTTGGCGACCACCTCTTCAAAAGACGCTTCTCACTTGGACAGTACACTGTCCCAAGTAGGTTAAATCTGTCCATAAAAAATTTAGAAATTCGATTTTTGCTAAAATGGCCGTTTAACCACGAAATTAAGTGAATGCAAAAGTTTGACTGGGATTCGAGATTCCTGAAACACATTTTCGTGGTCTGAAAGACTGATATTGACAAAAAATTGGATTACGTTTCAAATGATCCGAGATTGAAGGTCAGTCTGACGGGAATAATCCATAGTGACACATTGAACATGTTTATTTGCAGAATCCG